GACATAGGCTATCACTCATAGCTGAGTTTGATTGCCTCTGAATTGTAGAGTCTTGGTGTTAGGTCCATAGGTGACTATAAGGACTTATACTGGAGCCACATATTCTTTCTCAATGAGGGCATCAATTTCCACATGGAATGCAGTCCCGACAAGGGTTGGCTTAATGCACCTTCCTCTTAACATGTTTCACCCTCCATTCATGCCTCTTCAAATTCCACAGCACTGTTGGTAACAACTGACCTCCAGTTAGAGCACTCAAGGGCCAGAGCTTCACAGTTCTCGGTGTCTGTGCCACCGTTTTTAAGGTTAGCTTTAAGCCCATCTTTAAATCTCTTTTGCTGTCCACCAACATCCCATTTTCTGTTCTTGAGTTGGGAGTAGAGTAACTCTAGAGTAACTTTTGGGAGACGGTGATTGGACATTCAGACAACATGGCCAGTCCAGTGAAGTTGATGGTGGAAAATCATCGCTTCAGTGCTGGTGGTCTTTGCTTCTCCCAGAATGCTGACATTTGCATGCCTGCCTTCCCAAGAGATTTACAGGATTTTTTGGAGGCAATGCTAATGGAATCATTCCAGAAGTTGAGAGTTACAATGTAGTTCACTGCTTCTTAAACTGTGGGTTCTGATCCCACATGGGGTCCCCTTAGTTCATTGTTGGGAGCACAAAAATTTTGCAACAGTAAAAGGTTTCTGAATTCCACGTAGACATTTTCATGAATCTTTTATCAACAATATTTCCAGTGAATGCTGCAAAAAAATGCTTCAGCTGTATTTCATAAAAAGGAAAGCCAGCTAGTTTAGCAAACCTTGCAATTGCTGATTTATTATTAGTAAATCTTTGATTTTTATATCTATTTTATATACCTATATACCTGAAGGTCACGCAAAAAAAAATGGGCAAAAAGCAGTTGCAAGTGGAAAAAGTTTAAGAAGCCATACTTGCCTTCATCTGTCCAATTATGCCAGGATTTTTTCCAGAAGTCATTATAGTCTTTCATTTGTCAATGTTCAGGAGAAGGTCAACGTATTTCACAAGTTCAAGGGCTTCTGTTCACATTGATCATGAGCAACCCATGCAATTTAGCAATCCAACAAGATGATTTGGTTTGAGTGCTTCAACAGGTTTAAAATAGTAGAGGGCAAATAAGATCACATATTCAGTACATAGTTCAGAATAGTAGATGTGAGGGGATCTGATGCAGATTATCTTTCGCAGAACTTGGGATGCTGTCTTTCAAAAATAACTCATTGATTCTTCACCGCCCACAATGTCAGGGACCAAATTATTGTTGCCTAGATATCCACCAAGGAAGTGAGAAGGCAAAAACTGAAGGAGGGGTTGTCTTTCATACAGCCTGCAATGCCTGTCTCCACCAAAAACTCATCATATTGTTATTTGATGTGATGGATGATGCTGTTCTGTTGCCAACATTGCAGTAAGACCGAACTGCCAGCCCATTGAATAAGTACAAAAGCATAGGGATTTGGGAGATTCCTATCTTTGCCTTAGGTATCAACACATCTTCAGCTGACCCTGGCATGAAATGCCCCCAAAGTGCTTTATTCACACCAATAATCAAATCTCAGCTCAATGTCTTACAAAACTGAAAGAAACCTTTGATTTAAATAAAACCCCTAATTTATCATATGAAATCCAGATTCTCTTTTCTATCCTGTTGCCAATTATACAACAGAGGTAGACTTCAATAACCTGCTGCTGCTACCAATAAAAGAGAAGAAAAGATCACATCTTCAGTCTTGCCTACATTGCACAATAGCTATCAAAGAAATTATTGGATTCTAGTTATAACCCACTTTTCTGGAACATAAATATGTTTCTTCTGTAATACAAAGGCTATATGAAACTATAAATCTGCCTTTCTTTCTCCCACTCCTACCTAGGTAAAGATTTCCCAAATGGATATTTTAATACTAATGACTGCATCAATTTGTCATGATCTGGATCACCCAGGATATAACAACACGTATGTATCCTTTACGCAGAGGATGATTAGATGTGTAAGTTCAATTTGGAGAAATGCAAACATGGCATGTCTAACAGAACATAGACATGCCTGTTTACTCAAAAGTAAATTGCACTGTGTTCAGAAGGCAATAAGACCTTCACACTCTGCTTCCCTCATAGAAGAGATGGATGGCAGCCTTCAAGGTCAGTGGTCTACTTTTGTGGTTTTTGTAACCTGGATTCAAATTGAACAGCCCTTCAAGCAGAGGATTGTCCTAAATAAAGCACAGCACATTCCTATCCTGGAGCAATTAGTACATGGGGATATCCACATTTATTTTACTTACTTTATGCTACATAGAACATGTATATACAGTTCTTCCAATTCTCCCCATCCTCCTCCTTTCACCGCTGTGTAATAAGGAGGGGGCACATTACACATCCTTGACCTTTCCTGGTGGTCTTAGAAAAAAACATTTTAAGGGATGCCACCGAGAGTTGCATTGAGCAGAAGACAAAAACCAGCTTCCTCCTTGCATAACATTGAAACTGTCTAAGGAGAAAATATTGTGAACCCTTAAAAGCTCGCACACATCAAGTGCCATTAACATTCATGAGTCATGCATCTGAAAGTAGAAAGTGGGATCTCTCCCAGAAATGCTTATGACACAAAAAAATGCCTTTGTTCTTGAGGTTCCGCTCAGAAAGAAAATGCTGTTTTTGCCGCATGCCCTGCAGATAGGAGAATAATATCACACACAGGTCAAAGAAGAACTTTGAAAGGTACCTTTTCCCTCAGCAGATCTTGAGAAAACATCTTTAAAAACAAGATGTTGCATTTTTTGTTCCATTGTACCATATAGGTGACCTACAATGAATAAATAAAACAAAATATTGCTTAAAACCTTAATAATAAAAAGCTTTAACATGCATTAAAGAAACAACCCTATTAAAAAGTCAAATCTAAAACAATTTAAAACAAATTGAATACACAGTAAAGAACATTAACATTTAACATAACTCCAATAAAATATCTTTTTACCATAACAGACCAGTCTAAATCAGATGGTCTCTGCCTGCTGGCAAAAAAAGAGCAGAGAAGGGGCCGAGTGAGTCTACTGTGGGGAGGCATTTCACAGCCACAGAAAAGGCTCTCTTCCATGTGTTCATGACACTTACTGTTAAATGTATTGTTAAATACACTCATTGTGTAACCTGTTACTTTTTTGGTTATGTTAAAGGGGAAAATAAATTGCAGACAGTATTATATTTATCTGTATTTGAAAGAAAGTCAGTGGCAGATGTTCCAAAAGGTATTTTTTGCCCTAAAATGTAATTAGAAGTCATGAGAAGTCATGAGGGAGGGATATAATACCATTGCCAGTCATTTCATTACTTTAAAATACATAATTATATGTAATTAAAGCTATCCCTTTGTTGTCTGCAAAAATGGTATCTCTCTCACACATTCTGCCACTAAGACATCCAGATTGTCCTCGCCGATTAAATGAACATGACCCCTTCAGGCAGCCTCTGCATTCCCTTTATCTTTTTTTTCCACATTAGGTATCAGATTAATGCACGAACAGACCTTGCCGTTCGCTACAATGACATTTCCCCGCTTGAGAACCATCACTGTGCAGTGGCTTTCCAGATCCTGACACAACCAGAGTGCAACATTTTCTCCAGTGTCAATAAGGAACAGTTCAAACGAATAAGGCAGGTATGGATTAGAAGGCTGTACTAACATTTCCTTCTGTTTCATTCCATGTCTCACGTAACTAGGGCATAGAGGTGTAACAACCATTCACAAGTTGTTGTTGTTGTTGTTGTTGTTGTTGTTTTTGTTTTTGTTATCATCATTATCATCATCATCATCATTATCATCATTATTATTATTATTATTATTATTATTATTATTATTATTACGCTGCTTTATCTCCCTCAAAGGGGACTCAAAGTGGCTAGTTGTACCATTCCCAAGAAGAAAGCATTTCCCATTAAAGTGAAATACCCTACTCAAAAAGCCACAGTTTTTTTCAATCCAGCATGAAAAAAAGTTAGCAAAGGAATAGCAAAAATATAATGGGGAGGGGTAGCTATTTCAAAATATAAAATCATTGCAAAAATATCACTTTTGAAATTGGTTTATTTTTGTGTAAGAAAAAAATTAACAAAGATTTATATTCCTACTACTATCAAATTAAAATTTTCTGTTTCAGAAAACAGGAATGTGTGGCTCTCCAATGGTAGTTGAGTTGCAAATCATATCAGTCCTAGCCAGGGCATCCAATTGTAATGAAGCAATTCAGCAATATCACTTCGGATTGGAATCGTTAGGGAGAGGAAGGAGGTCTTAGTTATTTACTTATGAACCTTGGTTTGCCCCAGATAACACAATATTTGCTATCACAATCCACCTGCTGTGGCCTTTCCTGGACAAAGATAACTTTAGCCACAGTAGTTCCTGCACTTCTCTCTTGTGGCACACCGGCTATAGGGTATCTTCCCTTTAGAGGCCTAGATGATGTCAACATTGCATTTGGTAAAGCAAGTTTGTCCACAAATTTAAAATCTAATTTGTTTTACACAAATCCTTGTATATGTATGGTTTTAAATTATTGTCATCGATTTCCCCCAGTTTTAATCTTAGATTATTTAATATGCTTTAGGTATTTAAAACCCTGTTTATTATTTATACTGTTTCAGATTATGTATACTCCACTTTCTATCTGACAAATTTGAAACAAAATATGAGGAACAATGACAATAATAATATTTACTACAAAGAAGAAGGTGTGCAGCAGTTAACAAGAGTTCTAGGATAGGAGTATCTCTGTGTCAGTACAATTGCTGTGGATTTTCAACTAGTCTTTTTGGGAGCGAAGAGGCAGAAGACCACAGTATCAGGTTTTATTATTGGCTGAGGTGACAGTTATCAATCTTACCTGAAGGAAAAGAAACTGCCACCCCACCCCACCCCACCCACCCCCTTTAGTCAGCAAGTAAGTTTTATAGCATTTTACAGTGCATGCGCGCAAGGGTTTTTACTAAGTTTCTGTTTCCCCAAAATCACTTGATTTACAAGAAATCACAAGGTTATACAAGTCTACTAAGTTTCTATTCTACATGCATGCATCCTTTAGCAATCAACTTTAGGTGCATATACCACTAAGAAAGTTGCAATTTCTTTTGTTTCCCTCTTACAATGGTTGAGATGGGAAAAATCCTTCTCCCTTGCACCATGGTTCCATTCTAAATGTTTCACACACCCACATGGACCCTCAAAAAAAGAGAAAAAAATTTCCACTGGAAACCTCCCCCCCCCCCCCCACACACACACAAAAGTTGGGAATTTTATGCAAGACCTTTGAGGGGTGACTTGTTAGAAATGAGGAATTGGTGTGAAATAGCTCAATTATTTCCTTTTAAAAGCATAAACCTTTCACTATATTTATTTTTCAAAGGGAATGATTACATTAATCCTGGCAACAGACATGGCAAGGCATGCTGAGATATTGGATGCATTCAAAGAAATATTGGACAACTTTGACTATTCAAATGAAGAGCATGTGACCCAGGTAAGATAATTTTATTTTGTTTATTTTGTTTTGGGCAAATAATACCAGAAAAGCTGGAAGACAAATCTACAAAGAGTAAGAGTAATCCACCCTTGATCTCACTTCCATTTGTTTTTATTTAAGTGTCTCTGGGAATTGTGAAATACACGTAGTCTCTGACCCTGACCTCTTTCATAAGGAGATAAGAAGAAGCAAAAGGATGTATATATGTTTCTGAAGTATCCTTCTTATGCAAAATTGCAAACAAACATGTTGATTGAAATGCTAGCTATCCCACATTTTAAAATTTAAGCCTATAAGAGATAATTTGCATCAATAGATGCATCATTTCAAAATTGTGGTGAGATTGCAATCTTTGGCTCTATTGACGTATAGAAGCTGAGTTCCTGTACTTTTCAGCCGAATGATCCCAGCTTCTGCCAATGGAGAGATCACAATCCAAAATAGAACAGGGATAAAAGCACTGAATCCTTTCTTTGCCTTGTCTAAATCTGTTATTTAACTGTCAAGTGGAACGATCCAGATCCCAGGCCTGGCTATTCAGGTGGTATGGAATATCCTGTCAGAAACATGATTTTCCCCTATGAGTTTATAAACTCTCAAAATGTACAGAACTGAAGCATGCCTAATGTTTTGTGGTGGTGGCAATTGGTAATTGTGCGCCTTCATGTCATTTTTGACGTATGGCAACTTTAAGGCAAACTTAGCACAGGATTTTCTTGATTAGATTTGTTCAGGAGAGATTTTCCCTTGCCTTCCTCTACCGCTGAGACAGTGGGTTTCCATAGCTGTGTGGGGATTTCAACTCTGGTCTCCCAGTTTTCTAATTCAGAATGCAAACTACTCCAGCATGCTGGCTCTCTGTGTCTAATAGAAGTATTGTACTGTTGGGCTTGGCCTCATGTAAGCTGGCTCGAGTCCCCTTTGGGGAGATGGTGGTGGGGTATAAATAAAGTTTTTTTATTATTATTATTACTACTACTACTACTACTACTACTTTAAAATGGTGCAAATATAATGGAGGACAAGGTATAAATATAAGATGGAGAATTTAATTGATATAGCTACAGAGGTTTTCTATGGCCTTAGTGGTCCCCATATGGAGAGAGAAGATTATCCGCCCACAGGGTTGTCCAGTTTTCGGTAGAAGGAGAAGCAGTTGATGGACCAGAGCCCACTGGGAGAGTGTGTGATGAGCATGTAGAAAGTCTCCAAATTCCTGGCAGTTTCAACTGAAAAGGCAACAAATGAAGACAGTGCACAAACAACATATTTTATAGCATCTTCCTATATTCACAGGAGTGTCAGACATGAACCAGCTGGAGCCCATAAAGAATTCTAGAAAAGGGCAATTTTAGTGCTGGCTGCATTCCACAGAACTGTGAGATGCCTGCCATTGATTGGCAACTACTTTCACTGCTGTCACTCCATGGAGGAAACTATGCATAGTAAAAGGTACAGATGAATACCACAAATACTTTCCCATGTTGTAAAAATGCATTTTCATCTTTCAGTTGAAGATGGTACTAATCAAATGCTGTGATATCTCCAATGAGGTTCGCCCCATGGAAGTGGCAGAGCCATGGGTAGATTGCTTATTAGAGGAGTATTTTATGCAGGTAAGAGTACCTCCATATATATTAATCTAATAATTCATATTTCATTACAGCAGCTCAAAACCATATGGAATAATGTCTGAGACAGACTTAAAAAGAAACATTCTTTGTTAAAACAGGGTTTTTTTGCTACCCCGATAATATGCTACCATTGAAAGTGCCTGTAATTGACTGTAATTTGTGACCTGAAAAGTCAGCCATAGACTAGAAATAGCAATGTCTTTGGAAAACTGCACATTTCCCCAACCAGGCTGTTTTTCCATGTTAACTCAGCACGCAAGCAGTTCTGAAACCAAAGGGAAGGCAAGACCTATGCTTGGAGAAAACAAGCAGCAGCAATGAGTCAACTTTGTCTCTATGGATGACTGAAATATTCATGTGACAACCTCCAAGCACTGAAATAGCGTTTGGGTTGGGTTGTTTTTGTTGTTTAAAGGAAAGCAAGGAAAATAAAATCTCATTAGCATCGAAAAAGGCACCTTGAAGGGGGAAAGATCATAATGATCATTTATTACTGGATTTCCATTGGAGAATGGAAGCAATAACAAAAATTAGAGTAAGAGCCATCTGGCCCATCTGCATGCTAACAAAAGTGTGCATACCCAAGCTGTGGCAGACAGTTGGCACTGTACCAAGTAAAGCTTGACTGTGATAAGAAATATTTTTTAAAAAAATCAGTTATGTTACTTCTTGCTAAAATGTGTTCCTGGTGGAAAATCAGATCGACCAACAACAGGCAATTTTTTAAAATACACACAAGAAATTCAGTGTGACGGTTGAGGAAAATAAGCTCACAAGAAAGTACTGAGACTTTCTAGTATTCATTATATTAGCATAATTGTCTTTCTCAAGGCATTTTTTTGTTAACATGGATCTGTAATTGGTTAAATGGATGAACCCAGAGGGTGCTCACCAATGCTTCCTCTTCATCCTGGAAAGAAGTGACGAGCGGAGTGCCGCAGGGTTCCATCCTGGGCCCGGTCCTTAGATGAAGGTTTAGAAGGCAGGATCATCAAGTTTGCAGACGACACCAAATTGGGAGGGATAGCCAGTACTCCAGAAGACAGGAGCAGAATTCAGAACGATCTTAACGGATTAGAGAGAGGATGGGCCAAAACTAACAAAATGAAGTTCAACTATGACAAATGCATGATACTCCACTTAGGCAGAAAAAATTAAATGCAAAGGTACAGTATGGGGGACGCATGGCTCGGGAGCAGTACGTGTGAAAAAGATCTTAGAGTCCTCATGGACAACAAGTTAAACATGATCCAACAATGCGATGTGGCAGCAAAAAAAGCCAACGGGATTTTGGCCTGCATCAATAGGAGTATAGTGTCTAGATTCAGGGAAGTCATGCTACCCCGCTATTCTGCCTTGGTTAGACCACACCTGGAATATTGTGTCCAATTCTGGGCACCACAATTCAAGAGAGATATTGACAAGCTGGAATGTGTCCAGAGGAGGGCAACTAAAATGATCAAGGGTCTGGAGAATAAGCCCTATGAGGAGTGGCTTAAAGAGCTGGGCATGTTTAGCCTGCAGAAGAGAAGACTGAGAGGAGACATGATAGCCATGTATAAATATGTGAGAGGAAGTCAAAAGAAAGTTAGAGCATTTTGTTCTCTTTTCTATGGAAAGTGGTAATAACAGGAGGCAAGCTTGTTTTCTGCTGCCCTGGAGACTAGGATGCAGAACAATGGCTTCAAACTACAAGAAAGGAGATTCCATCTGAACATTTTGAAGACTGTGAGAGCTGTTCATCAGTGGAACACTCTGCCCCGGAGTGTGGTGGAGGCTCCTTCTTTGGAGGCTTTTAAACAGAGGCTGGATAGCCATCTGTCGGGGGTGCTTTGAATGCGATTTTCCTGCTTCTTGGCAGAAAGGGGTTGGACTGGATGGTCCACGAGTTCTCTTCCAAGTCTTTGATTCTATGATTATATGTTTAGGTATGGAGAGGGCAGGGAAGCATGCTTGAACTTGGATTCTGAAATTGGAATCTGTCCCCGATCTAGATTGGGCCTCCCTCTGCAGCTAATCTTTGTTCCCAAATCCTCTCTTTACAATCAAGAGCACACTGGAACAAATAGCAATTGATGAAAAAGTGATTTCTAGAAGGAAACAGCATGGAGATAAAGGGGTTAGTACACACCCATACTCCTTGCCACAAATCCAGTCCAGATAAGAGCCCCACAGGGAGACTTTTGATGAAGAAAGAAAATGGCTAGTTTTCAGCTTTATTATTTTTTAAAAGCATGCTTCACAATAAAATGTGGCGTTTTCCTGAATCTGTGGCATTTGTTGATGTGTAGACATAGCCTAGGTACTCTGAAGGCACTACATCATGTCTGATCTTAGAAACTAATCAGGGTACCTGGTTAGTATTTGGATGACACACTTCCAACAAATACATGGACCTCATCACACTAGAGCATGAATCCACTTTAAATCCAGTTTCTGCCTGCAGAATTCTTGGGCTTGTTCTTTAGGAAGGGGCCTTTAAACTGCTCGGCCAGACAGGTCCTGGGCCTCACTAAACTACGTACAATCCCCAGAATTTAGCAAGAGGCAGAAATTGGATTTAAAGTGGATCCATGCTCTAGTGTGATGAGGAAGGCAAAACCACCTCAGAGGATTTCTTGCCTAGGAAGATTCATGAAATCTCCATAAATCAATAGGTGACCTGAAGGCACACACAGAGACACACCTTATGGGAATCAGGCTATACACAATGGCAGAATTCTAGAAGTGTGGATTCACACGTACTCTGCAATGTTTCTGCAGTGTCACAAGACATTGCAGAAAATTAGTATACTACATTGAGGGAGAAGCTCAGATTTAAGACTTGTGAACAGAAAGAAGGGAATATGGTGCTCAAGGCCAGGAGAGAAAAGTGAAACAAGCTCAGGAAATGCCACCTGCCAATTTGGAAATCTTTCTTCCGTTCCTTGATGCGTAGCAATTCCAAAACATGAGAAGCTGCCCATTGAGAGCATGTTTTTGAAATAAAGGTCCAACCAGTTGTCATTCTGTTTCTATCTTCTTCTCTAGCAGGCTAACACAAGAATGTTCAACATAGGCAAGCTTACATATAAAGAGCATGATTTTAACTTTGCTTGTTACAGAATTTGTGTTTCTGAGTAAAAAAATCTCCCTTATCCCTTTCCTTCCCAAACACAACAAAGATGGCATCCTACCAAACTCCATGCCATAAATGTGTGCTCTTTGGAGGCCCTGTAATGTGTTTTGCACCAAGAGAGATAGCAGGAATGTTGGACAGGGGAAACTAAAATTTCCTCCCTAGGAAACGGAGACTGAGTCTATCTCCACTGAGTGAAGACATTATTAATGTCTATTTAATAATTGATTTGTTAATTATACCTCCTTTGTTAATGTGTTTATTCTTTTGAATATGTTAAAAGGTTCAATATATAAATTAATTAAATTGTAATGTGAATGTGCGGGTGGGTAAATGGATGGATGGAGTGCTTACATTTACAATGACACACTACTGCATCATCCTAGAGTGACCGTGAAAAGTCTGAAGGGCTTCCAGTGGCACCTTTTATGGACCGAGACAAAGTGACCAAACCTACAGCCCAGATTGGCTTCTTAAAATTTGTTCTAATTCCAATGTTTCAAACAGTAACAAAGGTAAGACCAAAATACATAATTCTGTCAAAAAACAGTAGGTCAACTAAAAAAAAGTATCCTTTAATGAAATGATCAACACACTTTTTCAGAAAGTTATTTTTAATTCCAAAAACATTTTATGAAATGGAAATGGCATGTGCTCTTATAATGAAAGCACACCCACACCACTCTGTTATCTTGTACATAGGAAGGAGTGCCTGTTCTAACAATGGGCCCCTGCTCTAACTTATCTGTGTCTTTTGTAATCTGAAAACAATGTTTTCTCCTAAAAGATGTGTTGATCTAGATGATGTTTGTGCCTATTTGCAGACTAGTCCCCTATATTTACCAGTAAATAAATTTGGTTAATTTCCAGTAAATATTATTTGGTTTCATTGATGGACCAAATGAATAATTCATGTGGTTATTGACACTCAGTGACAGCACAAATAATGGCCTAACATTACAAAATACCTTGTAAAGTATGAGGGAGATAGCTCAGTTTTATTTTATTTTTATTTTTTTCATGTCAGGAGAGACTTGAGAAACTGCAAGTCGCTTCTGGTGTGAGAGAATTGGCTGTCTGCAAGGATGTTGCCCAGGGGATGCCCGCCTGGATGTTTTACCATCCTGTGGCAGGCTTCTCTCATATCCCCACATTAGAAGCTGGAGCTGACAGATGGGAGCTCACCCTGCTCCCTGGATTCGAACCACTGACCAAAGTTAAACCCATTGTGCAACTGGGGGCTCCTTTTATTTATTATAATAACAAATCAGGTCATGACACCATATATTCTTCCTCTTCTCTTAATCAATGTAGCAGGGTGTAGATTTTATCATTTAAAGTAGAGAATATATATTATTTCAGCTTTTTCCAGAGGTTGAAGAAGTCATGCTCCAACCACTTTGGGAATCCAGGGACCGCTATGAGGAATTGAAGCAAATAGATGATACTATGACAAAAGAGGTAAGATTATTTCCTTCTCGCACCTTTTGTCTTTTCTCGATTATCCCCTTCATGATTGTTTGCTGGATACTTTCTGCCCAATTAGTTACAATTTCTCAGAAGAAATTTTCTGTTTCTATTCTATCTCTCTTATTTCAATGCAAACAGAGGCCACTTTATTTATCGGCAAGTTGAGAACTAAATATAAAGGACCTCTTCACAAAAGTGGGGGAAGGAGCAGAAGGTATTGTCTTCTTCCCGTGACATTCTGTGATGTTCCATCTTGAAAGAAGATGGAGATTTTTTTCACCCTCACTACACAGGATGCATTGAAGAATTAATGTAGTCTGACACCACTTTAACTGCCATGGGTCAATGCTGTAGATCATGGAAACTGTAGTTTGGTCAGGCACCAGCACCCTTTGGCAGAGAATGCTAAAACTACACTTCCCATGATTCTGTAGCATTGAGCAATAGCAAGTAGTGTAAGCTACATTAATTCTACAGTGTATATGCACCATTAGTTGAGTGGATCTTTGGCCTTCCAGAGGCTTTAGATCACAGTTCCCATCAGCTCCACAGAGTATTGCCAGTAGTAAAGGATTGTGGTCCAAGACCAAGATAACTGAAGGTTTTGTGCTGATTCTCATGCAAGGGCCTTTTGACAGGGAAAGCATAAAGCTAGTTTGAGTTATGAATTCACCAATGAACAGGCTTACTGATTTAGTCTTGTATGTAGCCACCCACACAGTTGCTGCAGGCAATTGGAAGTTCCATAAGCTGGGTTTGTGACATTTAATTCAGCTCAGCGAGTGGGCTGACTGGAGAGGAACAGAGCAATCCCGCCTTGCCTCTGCCAGCCCATTATGCATCTGTGATCGGGGACAAAGGGAAGGAAATGCTCTCTTTCTCTTCAACCAGCTCAGAAAACAAGATAACTAATAATCCCTTTTTTCCGTGGGAGTGTGGTAACCATATGAGCTAGAATAGTATGTCTCAACCTTTGCACCTTGCAGATGCTTTAGACATCCAGTCCCAGAATCCCAAACAAGGTGAAAGAAGAAAGTGCAAAAGCTGGGTTGCTGTTAAACATAAAAAAAACCAAGATAATTGCAACCAGACTGGCAAATAGAGGGAGAAAACGTGGAGGCAGTGACAGACTTTGTATTTCTAGGTGCAAAGATTACTGCAGATACAGACTGCAGCCATGAAACCAGAAGACGTTTACTTCTTGCTCTGTTCCTCTCCAGTCAGCCCTGAGCAGTGACCAATCTCAATAAAATAGTTAAAGAGTAGAGATTAGGATTGGTTGATTAAAAAATGGTTCTAAACTGTGTTCAAAAGTAGGGGACTCTGGTGGTTTAATTCTAAAGTCACTTCCGAATTTTTCCGAAAAAAACCCAGAAACTTCCGAATCAATTCGTTAATGGCAGACGCAATTGCGCAACACATGAAAAACAGCACTGGCACTGGGGAAACTTCAGGAGCTTCTCCCTCATTTTTAGGCCAATCCTGATGAAACTTGATATAGTGCTAGAACACATCCTCCTCTGTTAGCATACCAAATTTCAACATGTTCAAATCACTTTATTAACTTCTCCCTCTCCCTCCCAAACAAACTTTTCCTTCTTTCTTTCTCTTCTCTCTCTCTCTCCCACTACCAAAAACTTCCTTTCCTTCGCCCATCTGCCTTCTGCCTTCCTCCCTTCTCCAAACCTCCTTTCCTTTTGTTCCAAACAAACCCTTTCCAGTTCACCCATCCCCAACAGCAGCAGTACAATAGCAGCAGGCAGCAGCAACAACTAAACTCCCAACCTCACTCGTCCCTTCCTTGGGGACCTCCTAGCCACATGCTTGTTTTTATAACCAGCAATGACTGCCAGGCACTGAATAACCCCTCCCCTCCCCAAACCATAAGCCCTGATTGGCTGGGAGCCAAGCAGTTTAGTCTGCGCCTCCCAGCGGGCTTTCTTGCATGAAAAAAGCTTTATCATACTTCCAACTCGACTTCCAACCCAGTGTATTCAATGGGCCAAGGCAATTCAAAACTATGGGGGACTCACAGCTATGCATCAGAAGTCCCTTTGGAAGCCCAAAAACTTCCGACTTTATTTCCAAATCCGCAACATCCGAGTGAACTCACTCGTGCCTAGTAGAGATATCACACTGGAAATGAAGATCCACATGGTTAAAGCAGTGGTATTCCCCGTAGTAACCTATGATGCAAGAGCTGAACCATAAGGAAAGCTGAGCGAAGGAAGATTGATGTTTTTGAACTGTAGTGTTGGGGGAAGATTTTGAGAGTGCCTTGGACCGCAAGAATATCAAACCAGTCCATATTCCAGGAAATAAAGCCCGATTACTCATTGGAGGGAAGGATATTAAAGAAAAAAATGAAATACTTTGGCCACATAATGAGAAGACAGGATAGCTTGAAAGAGCTGGGGGTGGTGATGGCCAACAGGGAGCTCTAGTGTGGACTGGTCACTGAGTCCAAAACGACTGAACATTAAACAATAACTCACAATCCCTGGCCAATGTACGTATTGTCTGGAGTTTCTGGTAGCTACAGTTTAGAACATCTGGAGGACCAAAGGTTGAGCAGCTTGCTTTCTAAATTATTCTTTTTGCCAGCCTGCTAAGGGCTAGAAAAAAATGCACCCTATATCAAATTACTTCATTTTATTTGCACCTGCAGAAATATCAAAAATGTCCACACAAGAATTGGAGGGCGGGGGAGGTTCATTCCACCTGCTGGCCAGTCATTTGACCCAGCCCAGCTGAAATACTAATGGAAATTGAAGTGTTTGTGTCAAGTTTCTTGCCCCCATTGAAGGGTATACCAATTACAAATGATTGTGATGGATATCTAAATGTAAGGCCAGTAGGCCTTACATCTAGCCTTCAAACCTCTGTCCTCGATCCCTTGTGGAATACAGTATCCTTCCCATCAGGAAAGAGGTTCTCCTCCTTGAAATGGGTCTCCAAGGCAATTAATAGAGGATCAGTCTATCAGGAATTGCTAATCACGAACATATGGAAACTCCAAATTCAGCGGTTGGATATCACTGAGTAGCAAGTCCTGCAAAACAATTGAAGAAAGCAATTTATGTCCTGTTGTTTTTACAGAAGCAAACTGTAGATATCCGAAATGCCTATATAACTTTTGTCAGATGACAGAAGCAAACTGTAGATATCCGAAATGTCTATATAACTTTTGTCAGATGACATACAGGAGCCATTGCTAACTTAGTTGGAACCACCATAGTTTATGCAATTTTGGGTTCCATTCTGAATGGTGAGCTGACTGGGTAACGGGAAACAATTGTTAAGGCACATTAAATATCAGTGCAGTACTTTACTCTTTTTTTGTATTCTTAAAAAAACATAATAATTCAAGATAACATTTTCTGCTTTGTCTTTAGAATCAAGGTAGACGTGTTTGCATGGTCAAAGGGCTCTCCTGATCCCCCATTGGGCCACAGTGACTATGCCTGTTTGTTGCCATTTCCAATGACACAATGAGCAATTTATTCAATTTTACTCTTAAATAGCTACAGAAGAAGAAGAATGAAAATTTGACAAGTGGAAGCAGGGAGAAGTGAAATACAAATGAAAGACAGGGAACATAAAGGTAATTATTTTTTAAAAGCATTTTTTTACACCAGGAATCATAGAGCATTATCTGAAAAATTATAGTTAAATATTTAAAGTAATAAAATAGAGCATATAATTTTAGTATCTTGTGCAGTGTTCTATACACTATTGAATGTGGTAGACTGGCAGGGTTTTTTCTTCAATGTACAAATGACCGATGCTATATTAACTATGACCCTTCAGGCATGTTTAGCCTGAAGAAGAGAAGGCTGAGAGGAGACATTATAGCCATGTATAAATACGTGAGAGGAAGTCATAGGGAGGAGGGAGCAAGCTTGTTTTCTGCTATCCTGGAGACTAGGACGCGGAACAGTGGCTTCAAACTACAAGAAAGGAGATTGCATCTGAACATTAGGAAGAACTTCCTGATTGTGAGAGCCGTTCAGCAGTGGAACACTCTGCCTCGGGGTGTGGTGGAGGCTCCTTCTTTGGAAACTTTTAAACAGAGGCTGGATGGTCATCTGTCGAGGGTGCTTTGAATGCAATTTTCCTGCTTCTTGGCAGGGGGTTGGACTGGTTGGCCCATGAGGTCTCTTCCAACTCTATGATTCTATAATTCATCGACCCTCTTTCCTGGAAATTCGCAGTGGGCCTGGCAGCCATTAGTTCACAGACTGCCACTGGTCCATGGATCATCACTTTGAGTAGCTGTGGCCTAAGTGAAGACAGAAAATTCAGCTGACTTAATTAGAAGACATCCTATTATTTTTGTCCCCCAAAAAGCCAATGGGAATAAAATGTTAGAATTAATTTTTGGCCAGCTAGTTACAAATTATGAAATCAATAATGAGTGACAGCATGAACTATTTTGTGTTAAAGGAACAAATTCTGTGAAAGTGAGACATCTTCCATGGATATAACTGGAACTCACCTAGTTAAGTTATTAATGTTGTTTGTAGTGATTTCTATGGGATAGGCATGTGACTACAGTGTGGCTAGCATCCAATAGTCATTTTCACAAAGCATTAAAAGATTTCTTAACAAAGGTTTCAGATCAAACCACTTCATCACATTAGTTAAATTCCACTGAGTCCTATACTTAAAATCCGGTAACCCACTGTGTTCATCACATTCGTTTTGGTTAAAGTGTAGAGTACAGCATTCTTTGAGTTTTTTAAATGTAGGGGGCAGCATTTTTTTCAAATGTATCAGGAGAAGGTGTGGCAATGGATTTTCCTCAATAATCCAGATGTTTTGCCAAATGTATAATGTGATGGCATTCATTGCTCTCAGGTTTAGGGTTACCCAATTTGTGGAAGGAGAAATTATGGGATGAGGCAAAATACCCTTGTTAGGACAATCTACACCATTACCTTTTACTCTCCGAATTTTATACTTTGCTAGAACAATTTCTTTTTTTAAAAAATAGCCCTTCTAGATCTTTCCATTCTCTTTGCTTCTTTCCATGATATGTCTGCCAATCAGGGCTTTCTCTCCCTCCCTCCCTCCCTCTCTCATGGGGCAGCTGAGAGAAAGAGAGAGAGAAGAAGAGAGAGAGAGAATGGGAAAGTCGAAATAATGGGAAATCCAGGAGAGAAGGATTATTATTATTGTTGTTGTTTTTGAAGGTAACAGCTGACATTTCAAAGAGAGGAGGTTTTTCCCCACAATGAAGTCAATGGAGGAGGGATGGTGGGTGGGGCCAACGCTCTGCAGTATGATGAGAACTATCCTGAAAGAATGCTGAAAGAATACTGAGTCACACAGATAGATTTAACAGTGTGATGAAGATAGGGAAATCGTCTGTTTGATTTCAAAATTGAGTCAGACTGAGCTCTTCTCTACTAAACACTTCTGAGCTTCAGTATGATGAAGTGGTTAGTGAGGTCTAAAAGTATCATCGCCTTATGTCCAATATTATTCATTTAGCTCAATTAGTGATAATTGTGTTGATCAGCATATGCAAAATTCTAGATTATCCTCTTTTCACTTAGAAAGCCAACCTTCATCATTTTAAAGGCTCTGATTTGCTTTCATTGCATGCATACACAAATATGACTCATCTACTGTCAGCATAGGGCTTTAATTTTTTTTAAAAAATACGAAGAAACCAGAAGTGCTCCAAATAACAGATGCTATTTTCTCTAACTGTTTAAAGAGCATTAAACCATTTTTCTACCTGCTCCAATCACTATTTTCCTGGTCTGCTACATAGACAGATGGGGATTAGCATATTTGCTGTGTATATGACTTACAGGTGTGCTGAATCAGCACATCTGATCCCTGCCAAAAATTCTGGGTGGATGAGAACTCATTCTTTGGGTCTAATGATGTCTGTATTTTAATTCCAGCATTATAACAGACACAAAGCTCCTTTAGAGGTTTGCCAAGTCCGTCGAACTGTCATGGGATTTCATAGCATGGACAAAGGACAAGACTGAACAGCTGACACTATCACAAGCACTTTTTCGGGTTCCTTTTCTAAAGACTAGCATTTATCCTTATGGACACAAATGATAAGGAACCTCTGCTCTTGTACAATATTTTTACTTTTAAAAGTCGTCTTCTAAATAATATATTCTTATACCAAAAAGACTGCTACACTTATTCTGTTTTGTAGCTTTTATATATGTGTGTGTTTTGAAAACAGCTACTTGTGGTTTCATGGAAATATATATGGGAAGACAACATTTGTATATTTTAAGAGAATTGTTGTAGAAACGTCGATACATAGGATTGTGTACCGTTTCAGATAACAAAAATCAATCTCGTTATGTGTGTATAGGATCCACATTTTGCCCTAATTTATGCCTTCTGTTACTTCGTTGAAGAATTTGACCAAAATGCTATTACGAGCAATCTAAGAGGAAATAATATTTTACCTTTACTTGTTATCAGCTGTTTGCAGTAAAACATTTTTGAGAAAGAAATCAGAAGCAGAATACCAAAGTCTCAGATTATCCTCCTTTCATGGGCCTGATGCCAGTCTCAGATTATCCTCCTTTCATAGGCCTGATACCAGTCACATTTTAATAAATACTACCCTTCTATTGAGGCTGGCAACTGAGGCCACTGGTGTTCCTTCAGAAGACATGACCCTAAGCATTGAGAAAATGTTCAAAGGACCCTTTATGAAGCATATAAAGCAGTTCTGTTACCACGTCTAAGCAAGTCTAGTCAGTGGATGCCATGAAAGCTGACAACATACATTGACTGCAGCCTTAGAAATTTAGTGTGAGCTAGAGTAGACAGTAAGGAACTCAATGAACTTCATACGATGGCAACTTAGTATTTTCAATCCATGAGCATACACTGAACAAGTTGACCATCCTTCTGTATGAGTAGGGTTGTTTAGAGCAATGCTAACATTTTCTTGGTGTGAGATAGTGGGTTGACTCCAGGTTTGAATCTCTTCTCAGCCCTGGAAATCCACTGCTTGGTCTTGGGCAGGTAACAATCTCTCAGCATAACAATAACTTCACTTCACTTTATTTCTTAATTAGTCGCTCTCCACCAAGGTGCTCTGAACGACTTACAATCTAAAATAGCATTTACACAATATAAAAACATTCAACATAAAAACATTCAACAGTGACTATTTGGCAAATTAGATCTGATTACTTAAATGCACAACCAAACAGCCAAGTCTTGAATAAGGCAATGCCAAACCCCTCTCTCCATAAATCTTGCTCGGATGTGTTGTTGTTGTGTGTCTTCAAGTCATTTCCAACTTTTGGCAAACTTAAGGCCTATCATTGAGTTTTCTAGGACTGAAAGTGTGTCATTTGCCAAACTCACTCAGTAGGCTTCCATGGCAAAGCAGGAAATCGAACCCTAGTCTCCAGAGTTTTTGTCCAATGCTCAAACCAGTATATTGCATTGACTCTTCCTGCTGAGATGTGGTCATCATAAATTGAAGGCACATAATTATTCTACTTTCAGCACCAAGCAATGAAAATTTAGAGCAATGTAAACAGCCAGTTGAAACGGCATGGGCTGTTGTCACAAAGTGGAACCCAAGTATCTGGGTTCAGGTCCATAGACATAAGACAAGACTGAAAATTTCCACATTTGGTGTACATAATTCCTCATGGCTGAAGAGCTCTCCCAAAGTTTAGACATCATTATTTGAGTGTGATTCAAAGGCTATAAACATTGCTGCAGTTGTTGATCATATGTGCCTTCTGTAGCATCCAGTTAAACTCTAAATAAAGCCAAACTCTGCCAAACTCTGTAAAATTGGTTCTTAAGTTGGAGAAAGATGATCTGTAATAGATACCAAACCCTTAAAGGGGAGAGTTACACAAGGCAGCAGTAAAAAAATATGACTAACAGAATACAAAGGCCTTAGAACAGTGGTTCTCAATCTATGGTTCCCCAGGTGTTTTGGCCTAGAACTCCCAGAAATCCCAGCCAGTTTACCAGCTGTTAGGATTTCTGGGAGTTGAAGGCCAAAACATCTTGGTACCCACAGGTTGAGAGCCACAGTCTTAGAAAGAGTTTGAGAGAAGAGACCACTATAAAACATAAATTTGAGGACTATCATACAGAGGTTCCAACTCAGCAGATGAATGAGATCAGCAGGAATATATGAAGCAAACTCCTGTTAGCAAAACAAAGGATTCCTGACATGGAGCTCCACTTTAACTGAAGAGATTTTCATCCTCTGTTTGTGTTAAGTATCCAGAAGGACACATAAAATGCAACTGGCAGGAAACCCTTTCCATATGTTACATTGGCTGGCATCCCACTTGTAATATGTGTTAGTATAATCGTGGCATGTGTCTTTTTATGGCTACTGAGGAGGGAAGAATCCACCACCTCTTTCATGGACCCAGCTTCAGTCCTCAAGACTCCAGTCCTCCATCATGGTCATGCAGTAACCTGAAAAGGATAGGGGACATCTATCTATCCAGTTCCCACCTGTATCTTGATCGCTAGATATAACCTCCAGAAGATTTCAGAGTTATTTTAGGATGCCTTTGCTCTTGCATCAAACTATAGGAATATAGCCAGACACTTCTCAGCCACCCTCAATCATGACACGTCAGAGCGGATGTAAGTGGAAGCAGTGTCCTGCAAGAAGGGAGGATACGAGAGAGGAGGGCTCTCTGGCTGGAACCATCTCCCCATATCTAATGCTACTCAAAAATGTATGTGCTGACTTCCACAGTGCCTTACATTTCAACCCGATGGCTTGGAAGAAGTAAATATTTCCCACTACCTGTATGCACCAATAATATATGAGGGATTTAAACTGAGAATGTACTGTAATTTTTGTATGGATTTCTTTTAGATTGTTCTTTATTGGGTTATAAATATAGAGCGGTACATAAGGAAAGCACTACAAGAAAACTCATGTCTCTCTTTGAAGGGCACATGTACCCAAGCCATATGCCTGCAAGCTTCAGAGCGGCTGCCTGCATTGTGTGGTTCTGTGTTTAAAAAGGAAGTAGGTGGGTACTCAGACTTCTCTTCCATGCAAAACAGGAAAGAACTTGCTTAACTCAGGCTTCCCTCACCAGAGAACCTCAATGACTAATTCTTGGCTCACTAAGCACTGAATAATACTCTCATCACCTTAATTGTGCAGCAAGACATTTTGGAACAGCACATCTTCATTTTTGTATTTCACCGTGTCAATATGTATATTTTTCTTAGAGGTAGCTCTCCAGTATGTTTTTTTTATGGAATATCCATTGCTGTATCCTTTTTTATCAACTTCTGTTTATCAAAAACACTGTCAGAAGTATTTCACTGTTGATGCACAATGTGGACACATTAATATACACTACACAATTACAGCCCCATTATTCTATTTCAACTGCTGTGATTCCATCCTATGGAATCCTGGGATTTGGAGCTTACGGAGAACTATTTAGAATTTAATGTATTGTCAAAGGCTGTAGAGTTTTCAGACAAAGATCTAGCACTTCAACAAATCCCAGAGTTTTTTGGGGTATTAAAAGTAGCATTGTAATGCTATAAAGGTGGAATGTGAAATGTTCCAGAACTATACAACGATCTCCATCAATAACTGATCACCTAAGCATTGTTCCAAATTTGCACCTGTGCGGAAGCAGGCAACCAGCAAACCTTTTGTGTTATATGCTGTTTGAAAGCACCTGTTCACTAAACCAAATTGTAATTTCTTTTTTTAATGAAACTAAAATAAACCCTATATTGTCTTCAGTGTTGCTGGTGTTTGTGTTTGTGTTTGTCACATGTTCATGAATCCTACTTCAGGGTAGATGCTGAAGCTGCAGCTTATCACACTGAATTATCTCTCTTTTGTGCATTATATTGCTTCCTTGTCTGGGAGAGTAGTTGTTACTTTTCCAATATGCAGATATAACAACAACAACAACAACAACAACATGTTCTGTATCAGAAACTAGAGCTGATGTGGTCTATCCAATGCAATTTTCTGAATCAGCACCCCAAATAACCAAACCAAATCTAAAGGTGATCAAATACTGATTCGTAACCCTTTAGTACTAATGTTGGAGAGTGGTTCCTAGTCAAAGTGGTCCCTGGTCAAAAAAGGTTGGGAACCACTGCTCTACATTGTCTGATTAGTTATAAATGTGTAACTAAATAATGTCTCCTGGGGAAACCCCCAAATATACCTTAACAGCCAGCAGCCACACTGAGTATTTAGTTATATTTTGACTAGGGGCCCTTTTCACATGTCACAATTTTAACACTAAGAGTCCACTTTAACTGCCATGGCCACATCCTATGGACTTTGTTGTCTTGTGAACATCCCTCCCTAATCTGCAACTTTAAAGTAGAATTATAAACTGGAGTCCAATATGTAACATAACGATATGTATACTTAGCTAAGTAGCAGCAGTGGTACAAATTTATATTAGTATATTGTGATGATGTATACATTGGCATAGTAATGTAATAGCAGACCTTTGGTGGAGAATATACTGGATGTATACACTGTAGAATTAGTGGAGTTTGACCACATTGAGTGCTATGGCAAAATGTTATGGAATCATGAAAGCTTTAGAATTTTTTTACAAGGTCCTTAACCTTCCTTGACAAAAAGTGCTGTAATCTCACCAAACTACAAATCCTGTGGTGTCATAGCTTTGAATCATGGTACCTAAGTGGTGCCAAACTGTGTAAGTTCTAGTGTGGATGCACCCATAGGCATTACAAAATGGAGCAATTCTAAGTCCTGAATATTTAAATCCACTTATGAAATAATAATTCCCACATAGGCTTAATTGTGTCATTTTGAAATTGCCTCGTGAGCCTACATTTGCAGGTATTTTAGAAGGTGACTTTTTAAAAAAGCCATTTATTCCTCACAATAGCCTTTCACAAACAAAACCGAAATCTCCATAGATCTCCCCACTCCCAACTCCACAGCAGCAGGATGACTTGTAAACTCAGGCAGAGTTCATCGAACTGACCTAAATCTCTTAAAATGGCTGAGAGCCAGGCAGCCTACGAATGCCGGAAGAACTGTACAAATAGCAAGTCTCCAGTGAATAGAGGCTTCCAAGCTCCTGAAAGCATTCGCAGTGCTTGGGAATGAGACACTGATAGAAAGTTTGGCCATACTCCAAGGAACTGCATTTTTTTAAAAAACATGTTATTGGAAAAGCATTCAGCGCCAGTGATTACTCTTTTGCAGTTAGCAGGGATTTAATGTTATTTATGTCCTCAACCAATTTCCTGCAAGCCTCATATTTACAATATTTAGGTTCCCCCTTGAAACATATGGGTGGAATGAGAGTTTGGTTGCCTTTAGCCCTACTGTGGAGATGCAAAGAAGCATTCTGGGCAGCGTTTCCTTTTGGACTCCAGTCTGCCTTTGAGCTATCTGCAGAACATTTCTGGAATGAGTCTAAAGATTAGTTTCCTCTCTGCTCAGTGTACATTTGTTTAAACAGCTACTAGCATTTGGTGTCATTATAGAGCTCT